TCCATGTCTTTGCTATTGTAAGCAGTGCTCTGTGAACACTGGGGTGCATGTGTCTCTTTGAATTAGAGTTTACTACTTAATGGGTAATATGATTTTTTTATCAAATAGATCTTTATTTCCCAAATTTACCAAATATTAAATAAAATAGATTTAGCCTAAATTCCTTTTCTCTACAAAATGTAAGTTCCTAAGTCATAATTTATGTAATAAATGGCTTATATCCAACCATCAGTACATCTTGGCAGGTGTATACTCAAAATATATAACAAATCTGACCATTTCTCAATATCTCCACTGGTACTCCTCTTGTCTGAAGCACTGTCATTTCTCACCTGAATATTTGCAAGAGTTCCCAATAGATCTCCTTGCTTCGATTCTTGCTCCACTTCAATATTTTCCACATAAAAGCTCAATCATTTCTTTAAAGCATAAGTCAGACATCACTTAAAGCAGAAGTAAGGATGTTCATGAAGCTCCAGTTTTTCCCTCTCTCACCTGGATTTAGAGCCAAACTCCTTGCAGTGGCCAACAAGGCCCTGTCTAATGTGATACTCTGCTGCCTTTCTGACCACACTTGATGCTTGCCCTCTGTCTCTGCTCAGACTATACCAGCCACCTTGCCTTTCCTTGAACTTGCCAAGCATGTCTTCCCATCTGGCCCTTTCACCTGCCATTTCTTCTTCCTAGAATACTTCCTGCACCACCTCCATTTTCACTTGGTTTGCTTTCTTATTTTCTTTGTATATAATGACTGATATTTATCATCAAATAATCTTTGTAAACATGGTCTGCAGCGTGTATTAGAAAATAGTGAACCTTGTTGTAGATGTATGGTCTAGTTTAGAATGTAAGATGGTTGATTCTTGAGTCAGAATGTTTGGGTTGAGAAACTAGTTCTGCCATTCTAATTGTTTTCTAAATTCCTCTAAATCTCAAACTGTTTCTTTGTATGATAGGTATATATGTCAGTCTCATTGGGCTTCTCAGGGGGCTAAATAAGATATTGTGAAATGCTTGCCTGGCTCATAGTAAATGCTTAATTAATGTCATTATTATATCGGTATGATTCCTGCCTAACATTGGTAACTAAATTGATATAGTTACAATTGGGTTAAAAATATAATCTGCATATTATTTTTTCACCAGAAAGTATATCTTAAATATTTTTCCATACTGCTAAATAGCTTTAAAATGGTAAAATAATTTTGAGCCCTATGTGTATTATGGCATGTAATGGAGACATCATAATGTTTATACCTTTTAGCTAACAATTCGCTTTTATTATTGCACTGCAATAAATATTCACCTGGATATTATACCCTTTTACATATTGAGATAGTCCCTTAGTGAAATTCATGGATTCATGGGTCTACGTCTGTTGGTTGAAGTCGTCTGAAACTTATTTATGAGTCCTGTGAAATTTGCTCATTACTTTTCACAAGATGGTATGAATGTATACTACCACAATATAAAATACTTACACATATATAAATTTATTTCATTTTTTTCTATTTAGAAAAAGAAGTGAGGAAAGAGAAATATCTGATTAGTGCTAAATAAATTTAAAATCATTTTTATTTTATTTTATGTATTCACTTATTAGCCTCAAGACAAATAATCTAATTAAAGAATATCCAAGTTCTTTAAATGTACATAATTGTTAAATATTTGCATTAAAAAGCTATTCACTCATATTGGTTTATTTTAACTAGAAATAAGTATATAAGAAAACAATAGATCATCAGAAATTGTCATTAATTGACCTTTAAAAACTTAGAAATAACTTTGTGTCCATTGAGTTGATGGTCATGGTTAAGAACATAAAGACATTGTTTGAAAGTAAGGTGTGCATGCAACAGTGTGCCCCTAAAAGTAATAATAACCGGACAGAATTACATTTTTTTAAAAATTCCATCTTGAAGCTGATGCACCTGTTTGATCATTTGGCAAAGCTGCCTTTCTATTGTCGTTTAGAAAACAAAGTGGTTGGTCTAATTGCCCCACTGTTAACAATTCCTCACAGAAGTTCTCATTTATAGCCTTCGTAGCTGAATTCTGTACTGCTGAGAATTAAACGACCCAGGGTAGTGAAATCCAGTGATAGAGACATGAGGAATTAATTAATTTCTTTCCTCTTGAATATGACTGTTTTTCTAATATTTTACTCAACTGAATACCTGTAATAAGTCAATCTGTAATAAGTCAGATTATATATGCTAAATCCGTGCTGATTATTCTTTTTTTTCTAAATTTCAGTATAAAGAACGTAACTCCCAAAGTAGGAGACCCTGAAACCCGTAAAGCTATTCGCCGTGCCTTTGACGTATGGCAGAATGTAACTCCTCTGACGTTTGAAGAAGTTCCCTACAGTGAATTAGAAAATGGCAAACGTGATGTGGATATCACCATCATTTTTGCATCCGGCTTTCATGGAGACAGTTCTCCCTTTGATGGAGAGGGAGGGTTTTTGGCACATGCCTATTTCCCTGGACCAGGAATTGGGGGAGATACTCATTTTGACTCAGATGAACCATGGACACTAGGAAATCCTAATCATGATGGTAAGTGCATAGTTTTATTCATTGTAAATTTTTCACCGATTATTTATATTTTTGGAATTCCCAAGTGATTTACTAATATGCAAACTTAATCTAAACAAACTAAATTTGTCTTTAAAATTATCAAATACTGAGGCTTTTTGTAACATTTTAGAACAAGAGTTTCTGTGGGTCACTAGACTAATAATTTTTCATGTGGCTTTTGATTAAAGAATAGAACTTTACACTGTTCTAAATATTCTAAAGTGAATTTTGTTTTCTATAAAATGTCATTTAAAAGATTCCATAGTTTTCAAATCATAGGACATACATTAAACAAATTCTGTGATTTTTCTTTTTACTCTTTATTCCAGAGTTCCCACTTGAAACTTAACCCTGATTAACATTTGTGATGTGGCTTCTGTATCTTTTTTTTTCCCCCCCATTACCACCTTTCTTTTTTTTTTTTTAGATTGAAGTACAGTGAATCATAATGTGTCAATTTCTAGTGTACAGCACAATGTCCCAGTCATATATATATATATATATTCATTTTCATATTTTTTTCATGAAAGATTATTACAAGACATTGAAATAATTCTCTGTGCTAATATAGAGGAAACTTTTTTTTAAATCTATTTTTAATATATAGTGGGTAACATTTGTAAATCTCAAACTCCTAAATTTATATCTTCCCACCCCCTTTCCCCAGTAACCAAAGACTGTTTACTAAGTCTGCCAGTCTGTTTCTGTTTTGTAGATGAGTTCATGGTGTCCTTTTTTTTTTAGATCCCCATATGAGTGATATCATATGGTATTTTTCTTTCTCTTTCTGGCTTACTTCACTTAGAACGATGATTTCTAGTTCCATCCATGTTGCTGCAATTGGCATTGTTTTATTCTTTTTTATGGCTGAGTAGTATTCCATTGTATAAATATACTACAAATTCTTTATCCAGTCCTCTATTGATGGACATTTAGGTTACCTCCATGTCTTGGATATTGTATATAGTGCTGCTGGGAACATTGAGGTGCATGTATCTTTTTGAATTAGGATTCTCTTCAGATATATACCCAGAAGTGGAATTGCTGGGTCATATAGTAGGTCTATTTTTAGTTTTTTGAGGAATCTCTATACTGTTTTCCGTAATGGCTGCACCAACAGTGTAGGAGGGCTCCCTTCACTCCACACCGTCTCCAGCATTTATCATTCATTGAATTTTGAATGATGGCCTTTCTGAATGGTGTGAGGTGATAACTCACTGTAGTTTTGATTTGCATTTCTCTGACAATTAGTGATATTGACCATTTTTTCATGTGCCTGTTGACCATTTGTATGCCTTCATTGGAGAATTCCTAGTTTAAGTCCTCTGCCCATTTTTGGATTGGGTTGTTTGTTTTTTTATTAAGTTGTATGACCTGTTAATAGATTCTTGAAATTAAGCCTTTGTCAGTCACATCATTTGCAAATATTTTCTCCCATTCCATAGGTTACCATTTTGTTTTCCTTTTGGTTTCCTTTGCTGTGCAAAAGCTTATAAATTTAATTAGGTCCCATTTGTTTATTTTTGCTCTTATTTCTATTGCCTGAGTGGTTTGCACTAGGAGAACATTGCTAAGATTTATGTCACATAATGTTTTTCCTATGTTTTCTTCTAAGAGATTTATTGTGTCTTGTCTTATAATTAAGTCTTTAAGCCATTTTCAGTTTATTTTCATGTATGGAGTGAAGGAGTGTTCTAACTTTATTGATTTACATGCTGCTATCCAGTCGTCCCAGCACAATTTGCTGAAGAGACTGTTCTCCATTGTATATTTTTGCCTTCTTTGTCAAGATTAATTGACCATAGGTCTATGGATTTATTTTTGGGTTCTCTATTCTGTTCCATTGATCCATATATACCTGTTTTTATGCCAATACCATGCTGTTTTGATTACAGGACCTTCGTAGTATTTTATTAAGACTGGGAGGGTTATTCCTCCAGCTTCATTCTTTCTCTTCAATATTGTTCTGGCAATTCTGGGTCTTTTGTGATTCCATATAAATTTTAGGATTGTTTGTTCTAGTGAAAAATGTCCTGGGTAATTTGATAGAGATCATGTTAAATCTGTAGATCGCCTTGGTCAGTATGACCATTTTAATGATATTGTTTCTTCTAATCCAAGAGCATGGGATATCTTTCATTTCTTTAAGTCTTCTTTAATTTTCTTAATCAGTGTTTTGTAGATCTCTGTGTATAAGTTTTTCACCTCCTTGGTCAGATTTATTCCCAAGTATTTTATTGTTTTGGATGCAATTTTAAAATTTCTTTACTTTCTTTTCCTGCTAATTCATTGTTATCATAAAGAAATGCAACTGATTTTTGTATGTTAATCTTGTATCCTGCTCCCTTGCAGAATTCTTTTATTAGCACTAGTAGTTTGTGTGTGCGTGTGGAGCTTTTAGGGTTTTCTATGTATAGTATCATGTCATCCACATATAGTAATAATTTTACCTCTTCTCTTCCAATTTGGATCATTTTATTTCTTTTTCTTGCCTGATAGCTGTGGCTAGGACTTCCAAGACTATGTTGAATTGAAGTGGTGAGAGTGGGCATCCTTGTCTTGTTCCAGATTTTAGTGGAAGCCGTTCAATTTTTCACCACTGAGTACTATGCTGGATGTAGATCTGTCATAAATAGCTTTTATTTTGTTGAGATATATTCCCTCTATACCCACTTTGGTGAGATTTTCTTATCGTAAATGGGTGTTGAATTTTATCAAATGCTTTTTCTGTATCTGTTGAGATGATCATGTGATTTTTGTCCTTTCTTTTGTTGATGTGGTGTATCACATTGATTGATTTGCATATGTTGAACCATCCTTGTGTTCCTGGGATGAATCCAACTTGATCATGGTGTATGATCTTTTCTATGTGCTATTGGATTCTGTTTGCTAATATTTTGTTGAGGATTTTTGTATCTATGTTCATCAGTGATTTTGACCTGTAATTTTCTTTTTTGGTTGTGTCTTTGTCTGGTTTTGGTATCAGGGTGATGGTGGCTTCATAGAAGGAGTTTGGGAGTACTCCCTCCTTTTCAGTCTTTTGGAAGAGTTTGAGAAGGACTAGTGTGAGTTCTTCTTTGTGTGTTTGGTAGAATTCCCCAGTGAAGCCATCTGGTCCTGGACTTTTGTTTGTGGGGGCATTTTCTATCGCTAATTATATTTCATTTCTAGTGATTGGTCTGTTCAAGTGGTGTATTTCTTCTTGATTCAGTCTTGGTGAACTGTATGTTTCTAGAAAGTTATCTGTTTCTTCTAGGTTGTCCAGTTTGTTTCCATAGAGTTATTCATAGTATTCTCTTATATTTTGTATTTCTGTGGTATTGGTTGTAATTTCTCCATTTTCCTTTCTTATTTTATTTATTTGTTTTCTGTCTTTTCTTCTTGGTGAGCCTGGCCAGAGGTTTGTCAATTTTGTTTACTCCTTCAAAAAACTAACTCTTGGTTTGACTGATTTTTTTCTATTTTTTTAAATCTCTATTTTATTTTTTTCCTCCCTGATCTTTATTGTTTTCTTCCTTCTGTTGACTTTTGGTTTTGTTTGCTCTTCTTTCTCTAATTATTTTAGGTGGTAAGTTAGTTCGTTTATTTGAGATTGTTCTTTTCTGAGGAAGGCCTGTATCACTATGAACTTCCCTCCTAGGACTGCTTTTTGCTGCATCACATAGATATTATGTGGTTGTGTTTTCATTGTTGTTTGTCTCTAGGTATTTTTAAATGTCTTCTTTGATTTCATCATTGATCCATTGGGTTTTTTAGAAGCATGTTGTTTCTAATCTGTAACATTTTGCCCCCTGTCTTTTGTCTTTATAATTTTCTTGGTCTCCCAATCTGATACAACTACATAAGTTATTTTTTATTATTCTTTATTTTTTATCATATTTAATTTCTTGCATATCTAACATATCAATGTTCTAAACCTTATGATTATTCTGATATCCAAAAATAATGTAAAGACAAAATCTCAACAACTAAAAGAATAGTTACTTGATATAAGAAGCGTATGTTTCTTCCTAGGCAGAAATCCATACTTCACTATTATGTTTAAAAATGTTCACAAAATTATAGGATTTGAGAAGTATAAGCAGCCATCTTCATAGTTCTTGTAATCAAGACTTAAATATTTTTCTTTCACACCACAGTAGAATGTTGAATATGTAAGCTTGCATTGTTTAATGACAACTAATCAGCTAATAAAACTCTTAATGAGTCCTTTATAAGTTAAGCCCAGCCATCATATTAAGTTTTGTTAGTTCATTAGAAGGGTTAATTAGCTGGATTAGTGTAATAGCCTTGCAGTTTTAGAGTATGCAGAGTTCAATCACATTAAGAACAGAATGAATTAGATTGAGTTAAACTTAAAATAACATTAATTTTCAAAGAAAGGAAATATAATAAATAATTGTTCATGTTTTCCAAAATAAGATAAAATTTCTAGTATTGAATAAAATGATCTTTTGAATTGCCATTAATAAGTGTATTTACTATAATATAAAATTATTATTTTATTTTAAGAACTAGTTTGGAGACTAATGGCAAAATATGTTGGGAGATTTCATTATTGTGGAATTAAAAGCCAAATACTTTGTAATCAAACAGATCTGTGTTCCTGGCTAATTGCTCATTAGCTCAAGAAACCTCTAACATACTGTGTAGTTGATTTCATTCTTTACCTTATATTGCAGGGCTGGAAACATTGTAAGTAAATTGGTTTCTATTCAGACATATTTAACTTACTCTATATCTGAGTATCTTATTATAAAATACCTACAACATAATAGTTGACCCATACTGGTTTGATACATAATTTATTTAAAATTAAATGTGTTTATTTTATCAAAAATAACACAGGCATTCTAGTGAAGTAGTTCAGAATTCTTTAAGTCACTTGTTAACATTGTTTTGAATAATTGAAGAAAATTTTCATTCTAAATAGTTGAGAAAAAATAGCACTTATAATGGTAGAATTTTGCTGACACAGG